TTACCGTATTTTTGCGTTTAACATGTGAGAATGTGTGAATAGATGTGTGTATGTATTTATGTGTGTGTGTGTGTGTGTTGTATGTTGTGTGTTGTCTGTGTCTGTGTGTGTGCGTATGTGTCAGGGTCTGTAAGGGGATTTTCAAATCGTCCAATTGCAGATTTTAATGAGTCATTCGAGAATGTTGAGAAAGTTTTGTCGCTGACTTGACCAGGACATAATGTGCAACTAGTTGGATAGACTTCTTCATCCTTCTTCGCTGTCACCACTGTCACCATTTTTCTAGTCAGTCGGTATTATCGAAGAGAGGCGTCTGTAAGCATCAAACACCTGTACGTATCATCTGTATGCTCACTGTTTGTGTCTGTCTGTGCCATTCCTTCTGACTAGCTTTATTAGCTGTACAAATAGGAAGACTCAGGTAGGCGGTGTAGGAGACGCTTTAGAAATGACAGGACAGTCTGAGATCGGTTGTCAACCATTTCCTCATCTTCCGCTTCGTCGACACGTCATATAGATTTAGCTAGTTTCAATCTTCTTTTACTGTCAGGTCATTTCATTTCATCCTCTTTTAATTTGATATTAAAATTTTGCAAATAAATTTTATGTTGTGATATCATCGTTATCATCATTACTAACATTTCCTTCATCTATTTGTTCTCTGAGTGAAACCAAACAAATTTCAAACGAATTCTTACGAAATGATTTGATATAAACATTTCGCCGCATTCTCTCCGATTCATTTCAGACGTTTAAATTCTCATAAAAGTGATCGTCACGTGTTTTCTGGTCACTAAGTAGACATTCTGTCATAAAGAGAGTAAATATTTGGTAGTGATTTCAATCTGCTATGTTCTGTTTACTAATTCAACATCAGAAACTGATGAAATGATAATATTGACATTTCACGTCGGTCCGTATTTGCTTTTGACGTATTCTCTGTGCATCAATCATATCACTTAAAGTAACTAAATATTGATTTATGTTGGGTTCCAAATTTTAATGAAAAAATCATTTCACGAAATCAATGTTGCTTAAATTCCATGACTTTTCAACAGTACCATAAAGTATTTATCAGAATCAATGACATTTAATAACTAATATTGATTAGCTTCTTGAAGAAAGGTCTCACTTTCTACTGAAGTTGTCACATCTCGTTTCGATCAGTTTAGATCACTTAACTTTCAATATTTATGTATTCCATAGCATATATCTATTCATACTATGCCTAAAATTTTCTTTGGATCTGTAATTTTTGTATAAATTGAACATTTAGCAACAATTTAAGTCATTAAATCAATTAATTAATTAAAAGGTAAGTTTGGAAAAATTTAGGAAGGTCGAGTATGGGAAATTGGGAAGAAAAACACTTTTTCTTCTTACTTTTAATATTTTTCTCTTATTACCATACTAATAAAAAAAAAAGAAAAAAACCAACTCTAAAATGATCATTCCAGCAAGGTGGATCGAATAAAAATGCCACGGATACGGTATAATGATTCCTTTTTTTTCTCCGCAATACAATCCTTTCGTCCAGCTCCTATCTCTCCCATCTTACTTTTCTCTCTCTCTTTCTCTCTCTCTCCTTTCTTCATTCCTTTCTTTCTTCTTTTAAACCTGACAATAATAATAAAAGGAGTAAAAGTAGTATTCACAATAAAAATGCATCATAAATTTATATGTCCATTATTGAAAGGATGGAGAAAGGCGTATTTATGGCATTGGAACGGTACGATAAGGCTAATTTTTGATTTTTGGTTTGTTGTGATGGTTTCACCTGGAACTTACCTGGAAAAGTTCACAAAATCGTTCTTCTCTTCAAGATATTGTAAGATGCAAAATTTTAAAGGATATTATAGAATTTAAAACGGTGAACAAGTGGCAAAACCAAAACTGGAGTCGGCAAACGTATTTGGTCTTTCCACGGCTAGTACCTCATCAATTAACAGTACAGGTGATAGTGCAGCTAATATGAATACAATGCTCAGTAATACTACTGGTCTTGTGTCCGCTTCAACAGTTTCTGCATCAACATTTGATTCTGTTGCACTTTATCAGGCGCAAGCATCGACCCTAACCCAGGTTTTCAATTATTTTATTTTTAATTTTAAATTATCGAAATAAGTAGGTTTACTGTGAGAGGATAATGTTTCTGTAAAGATCGTAACCAGTTAGAAAAAGAGTTAAAGTTAGTGTATGAAAATGAAAATAGATCCAAACATTTGAAAGCTTTTTTAGAACGGAACAAAACTATTAGTGTAGTTGCCAAAGTTCATGACTTTTTTTTTTTACCGAAAGATCATTCATTAATTGATATATCGAATTTTAAATTCATCACTGTTACTATTACTACTACTACTATTTACCTTACTATTAGAAACCTCGGTCTTCTGTGATTTGTCCAGCAGTAAACTTATCGGAAATGAGTTTCATAAATATTATCTCTCGGTACTATGTATATTTTTGTTCGACTTAATTGTTTGATTAATTAATAAAACCCTTCCGCTAACCCCGTTAACCCACTCTCATCTATATTTACACTTAGCAAATATTGGTATTGATGCACATGGTATGCGATAAAGCCAAGCAGGGATTCTCTAAACCTGGTTTCGGAGATTCTAGTGCATTTCTAGCTAACCAAAAGTAGTCGAGGAATTAAAAAACCGTACTAAACTTTGCAAATGTTCGTGTCAACTGAGCAATTATAGTATTGACATTCTTTTTTGGTTTCTAATATAGTAGTAAACGTCATCCTTTATGTACATACTCTCCATTACCCAGCAAATTTGCCTATCAGAAATTTTGGGGACGCCCTCATCTGTTTGCTTTTGGTACTTCGGCAAACCATTCATTTCGAAGTACATTTAAAAAAGGTCAACAGTAATCATCAAATCAATCAATACTATAAGTTTTTATCTATGGCTTAATAATGATAGGTTCTTTTATCATTTCCAGAATGCTTTTTTTTTCAAATTATATTAAACTAATAATATTCCCACCTTTTAAATAAGCAGTTAAATACAAGCATAATTAGATGTATTTTGTTCTCTCAAAATTTTATGAAATTTAATTTATTATTTAAATCATTAAATTTGAAATAAGCTACGAATTAATTAAATTTGAACTTCATTAAACGGAATATTTTTCAAATTCGCCACATTCCTCATATAGAAAATCTTCTCTTAGACTAATCAAAAGAAAGCCGGTATGAGTATTATGTACGGAGGAAGAGATGGGACAATCCGGACATAAATCGATCGATTTGAGAAAGGATGAAATTTAATATGGATGGAGCAGTTAGCAATTGAGACTGCTGCTAGATGATATGTCCCGGGTACCGTAATCATCTTTGTGAGACAAGCTTTGGAGAAATTGGGTTGGATGTAGGGAGGAGCATTCTTTGAAGGACCAATGCCAATCATTATTTTCTCCATCGTCGAAATGCTTTGATTATACATACTCCTTGAAAAATGAAGCACTTAATGATCTCTGCTTTATTATTCGTATAGCTATAACTATAATCATAATCATAATATAATCATAATCATGATCCTGATAACACTTAAAAATAATCTTAACCCTCAATATCGAAAGTTTCAAATGAGAATAATGAGTTTCAAATTTGAAGTTTTGATTTGTTAAACTTTACAATTATGACTTTGGCAATTATTTCCATCTAGCTTTCCAGCTATAATCATCTATCGTATATGATCATTATCACGGTCTTATCACACTCATAGTATTGATAAATTCAAATCTAAATATTTCGTGTAAACTGGAATTTTCATCTTTTTATTTGACCACAAATCAATCCGTGAGATGTTTGATCTTAAGAGCTATAGAAGGACTAGAGATAGCAAGATAAAATGGAAAAAGAATGAAGAGATTAGATGAGATTAGAAGAACAGTCTTATCAATTATTCTTTTATCAATGATTATGCAATTATAGTTGCAGGGTATGACAGCGCAAGACTATGCTTCGGTGATGCCAACTTATTCAACCGCTCTATCAGCCTACAATCAGTACCCTTATCCGTCCAGTAACAATTTGGCCAGTGGAACTCTACCAACTTACTATACCTCAAATTACATGAATCCCGTTAATCAAAGTGTGTGTTAGTCCTTTTGTGATATGTTATCAACACTAATCACTTGATAACATGTAACTTATTGCAGCCTTTACGATACTGGATGATTTGCAGTGTACTTGATATCTTAATGAATGAAGTTTTTAGAACGAAAAAAAAATGATTTGGAACTGGAATTTTCTCGAATTCGAAAAAGTACCTTCATCTACAAAAGCTCAAACTTCTGTCTTTTATTTTGTTTAAGAGTTTAATTTTGCATATTGTAATTAGTAATCAGGATAAATAGTCCCATTAAGAAATTAATTAATTGCAGCCTATAACAGTTTTGGAGTAGCAAGCGGAATATCGCCTCTGGCCTCAACTACCAATCGAGCATCATCCACTATTACCAATAATGCATCCACTTCTTCTACAAATGCCGGAAACTCCGGTTCCGCGATAGCTGGCCCATCCTCATCACTCACACAAATTTCCCCGAATTGTCGCACCTCCCGTGTTACCTTCAATGAACAAACACAACAGGAACTTGTAAGTGTTTCGTAAAATTTGAATATCAAACATCAGATTTTTGGGGTGCAAAAATGGTTGCAAAATTAGCTAATATAAGCAGGTGACTGTGTATAATTTCCCTTTAAGAATCTAACATTTATAACAATTGTTTCATTTATATTATGTAATATTCATTTCTACAGGCTCAAATGCGTACTTACAATGGTAAAATAGGGAATGCAAAGCCGCCATTTTCATATATCTCACTGATAACAATGGCAATTCAACGATCCGAATCTCGTATGCTAACACTTTCAGAAATCTATCAATTCATTATGGATAATTACGCCTACTATCGACAGAATCAGCAAAGGTCAGCCGGGTCAGTGCTTATCAAAAATTGCTGTCTACTACATAGACTAGCTATCTATTGCTGTTAATATATTAATCTAAACAATTACCATCCATATATTTTGATAATCTGCAAATTTTCTCTCACATCTATTCACTTTTCATAGGCAATCTATCTCTGAGATTTGTTTTGGATCAATAATGTTCCCTCCTGCAATATCTCGAGGACTAATACAATACAATGATTTATTTCAGGTGGCAAAATTCGATCAGGCATTCACTTAGCTTCAATGATTGTTTCGTCAAAGTACCCAGGTATAATTATTATTAACGTCGCAAACTTCGTTGTCATTATCATGGTTATGATTATTGAGAACGCCTTCGGCACAAACAATCTTGAAATGATAAATTAATCGTTAATTCTGGTACAGGACACCGGACAAACCGGGAAAAGGTAGCTTTTGGACTCTTCATGAAGACTGCGGTAATATGTTTGAAAATGGATGCTATTTAAGGAGGCAAAAACGGTTCAAAATAAATGATGGTAAACCAAAAAACAAGAAAATTAAGGTTAGTATCCATACTTGTATTGCTTAACAATTCAAAAACATATTGTAGTGATACAATATTAGTATGCAAATTTACAAGGAATATATAAATATATCCGGACTTGTAGTGCCTATATTTACAGAATGGACATAGCGCAAGGACGAGTCAAATCAAGGAAGAGCACGATGAGGATATGATGGATAATAAAGGGATCAGTAATAGAGCTGAAATGAAGATTTCAAGTGGTTCACAAAAAGCGCAACAACCCGATATGGCATGTTCACCGCCAAGCGAAGTACAAATCATTTCTTCCATTCTCCAAATTTATCTTTACTTTATAAATCACTTCAGTTTGCTTAATTTTCAACTTTTATTAATTTCTGTCACGTCGTTTTTGAAATACTTTCATTTCAACACTAATGTGTGGCATTTTCTGTTCAAAAATTCAAAATTTGTAAAAATTGTAAGATTTCTGAACTTTTTAAAAATTGTTATATTACAATCCAAAAATACATCTTTAAAATTCCTTCGAGTTTATAAAATTTAGGCTGAAACAAGTACCAGTACCGATCGAGCAATTGCCAGTGGTACAACTTCTCAACTAATCAGGACTCAGCAGCAAGTAATGCAATCTGTACAGTTACCCTCTACCACATCATTGACAGCACCTACCGTAAGCAGTCAACCAACAAGTGTCATTTCAGCAGTAGGAACTGTACCGGTGAGTTTCAATTTTAATTTTAATTTAACTATAATTCTCTAATTTCTCTGCGAGTAAAACCGCAGTAAATATAAACAGCAAAAGTTCTTCAACAATTCTTAATTTGGGGTGAAAAAGAAAATTTTGATTACTTTATGATCCTAAAAATTAAAAAGCTTCAAAATGATTGATAATATAACTACTTTGATAAAACCAATGATGGTCACGCTTATCATGGAATAAACCATTCATTATCAATTATCATAATCACTATTATCATTTTAATATATCATAAAATCATCACCAAACTGCGCTTTTCTGACATATCGAAGAATTGATGAACTTTTTCACAGCTTTTCATTGCCTTCAGTCCTACTTTAATTGGTTTATTCGGATAATTTGATCTCCGTCTGTAATTTTATAAATGTTTGACCACTAATATCCAACGATTAATGAATCATTTCTAGATGAGTCCTTATGCCAGTCAATACCCATCCTTTGGATTGTACTCGAATGGTGCAATGACCGCTGTACCAGATTTATCACAAACCACATTACCCACTCTAACACCGAGTGCCTTCCGCATTGGAAGTCTTATCGATAATTATAGTATGTACAATAATATGTATGCTACACAACCGAGCAATACACTTAACGATTATCCTTATCAGCAAACATTGTACAGGTAGGTATCAATGTAATCTTTTAAATTTATCGATCTTTGGTCTCTTCTTTGCCATGATATCAGTCAAAGCGTAATTATCAACCATCAGAATAGAAAAAGTTGCAAATGCAATGAGATTTGTCACAGTAAACAGGATATCTCATGATATTTATAGCCAATTACAGTTCATTTGCATATTGAGCCTCTCGTCATAATTATGTGAACTTCATATTTGTTTCTCGTTAGGCTAACAGATTGTTTTTGGCCAATAATAACTGAGCTATTGGGAAACCAATTCTAAGATCACTTTTTAACAAGTTGTCAGGAACTTTTTCATAGATTATATATGCCAAAGTCCAAAAGAGACAATATTGGCTTATCGTTTAGTATAAAGTATTAGTTAACTTGCATTAATTATTGCTTTCCAGTTCGAATAATCCGAATTCATTGCCAAATTTGTAAAAGGAGCTTAGAAGAAAAAGGTTGAAAGACGTTGAAGCAAAGGAAAAAGTCATAAGTTAGTAGTAGTGCCTCATTTCAACAACTGGCCATTTCTATGAGCGAGTTATCATTGATTCAAATATTTGCGATT